CTAATAATTAATTACAAAACACTCATATATATATTACTATAATAAGGTCTATTTGGACATACAGAGTTGAGATTTGGAGTTCCACTAAAAAGAAGAATTTCTCTCGTATCCGATCTTGTGATCCAAATTCCTTTGTAATATCCATACACCTCCTTACTTTGTCAAAAAGAAAATCATATATAACGACTTTAATGTTTCACAAGTTTCCGATCTCGCATAATCCTGAAACCTATCCATCCATAATAAATTTCAGCACCATCCTAACCCTATCGCTTCTAAACTTGGTTTCTTTTTAATCCTCTGAAGCTTCTGAAAAGAAGATGGTCTCGTGATCTCCTAATTTACAAATTTCATTAAAGTGATACCAATAGGTAGCTTACAAACTTTTTTTATGTTTTAATCCAGATACATATCCATCCATAATAAATTTCAGTACCATCCTAACCGTATCATTTCTAACCTTGCTTCGTCTTCGATCACTGTTAACCCTCTCAAGCTTCTGAATAGAAGATGGTCTCGTGATCTCCTAATTTAGACATTTCATTAGAATGTTACTAATGTGTAGTTTTTCTACATTATTTATCTTTTCATGTCATTGTGTTTCTCTGTATCGCATTTTTGAAGTGATAACTTTTTCAGACGCGTTTTGCACTTTTTTTGTGGAGTGTGAATTTGATTGAGCCGTCAGATCAATGATGTGCAACGCTCAAGTAACGTCGACTGATTCAAGTTCAAATGGATTAAAATATCTCAGACACTAAAAATCGGACCTGCATACTGAAAGCGAGGTAAATGTTCAGTATTTCATCCTCTTTATAATGAGCTATTATTTATAATTTATATTTCATATTATTAATCGGACCTCTTGTTGATGTTTTCACTTCTATCGTGTTATCTAAAGCACACAACTTACTTTTTATTTTAATACAGTTGTAAATTTCACGAATAATATAATTATTTTATTGCAAGTAGTTTTCCCCTAAACGTTCTCGTAACGTAATCCAAACTTTTCGGTAACCCAAACAATCCTCTGGAGCAATCAGTTCGGATTATTGACACTGCACATTTCATTTTTCGTTTTAGATTTTATTTTTCCTTTCTCTTTAATTAATATAAATTATCAAATAAATTAAAAATTGATTTTAATGCATTTTTTATAAAATTAAATTGATATTTGAATAAATGTAAATTTAGGTTTAGATATTGAGATTAATTATATATTTAGAGTAGGTGAGGTCGATTGGCATGAATGTCAACTGTGTAGATTGCTGTTGTCAGGACTAAGTGATTACACACTATTGACAACCACTCAATAACTGCCTCTCTGAACAATAGCAGTTGACAGAAAACGGATAATCTATAAAATTTCTCCTTCTCTATGTTAACAGGTGAATATATTATCTTGATGATTCCACCATGTTTTTGAAATAGCATATATTATAATGTATACAATGTTCACTACATCTATGAATTTAGATAGTTATACGTTACTTGTAATTAGTGTTGCCCAAAATCGGTCTTGGTCTTGCACTTTGCAAGACCAAGACCAAGGCCGCCTAACTGTTGCAAGACCTAGACCAGGACTGGTAAAAAAATTCGATGTTTTTAATACAAAATTAAGGCAAAATAGTTACTAATACTCGACAATCTTAGTTACTATATGTAAATAATTGGTATAACCAATATAGTTTTGCATTTAAGTCCTCTAATTTTTCATTCAGGCTTAATTAGGTTTCTCCTATCTACAAAATACAGTACTGTAAGACTGTTGCGAGACTCTTCAGGAAGACCAAGACCATGACCAAACTGAGTTTACAAGACCAAGACTCGTCTGGGTCTCGCATTTGGGCAGCACTACTTGTAATGGTTGCTTGGATAATATGATATCTCATAAACTATATTTTTGGATAAATAGGTTCTTATTCAGATATTAAAACTATCCGAAAAAGTCAGTCTTTGACTGTATAGCAAAGAACATGAAAAGCAAAGAACATTTAAAAAAACGAGAAATTACCAATTTTGTTAGTTTTATAAAATTTCAGTTTTCTCTTCTTCGAGATTTTATTTTAAAAAAATCTATTTTATAATTTTTTTTTATGAAGGAGTCATATTTTAACTTTTTTTCAACTCAAATTCTCTTCTCAGGGCCAAGTAATACGTTAAGAAACTTTTAAAATGTATGAAATACGATTATGCTTAAATGCATCCATCAGTTTATATTTAAGCACAATATTATAATAGTTTAAATTGTTAAATTCAACGTGTCTCCAAGCATGAAAAAAATGGAAAAGTCATTTTCGCCTAACTCGTCAGAAAGGTAAGGAATTTTATGATAATGTTTACCAAAAAAAAAAAAGAAAAAATATACAAAGTGAACAGTTACTAAATAAAAAGAAAATTTTAAAAAGTAAATATTCATTTAATATTTTTGCTTCCTCACTACCGAAGTTACTGGTTCTGAGAGGGGTGGGAGGGCAAGACTGACGATTTCTTAGTAACCCCTAACGAATAATAATAATGATTATTTCCTGTTGAATAAATAACACTAATCCTTCTTTCATAATAAGTACATACTATATTATTAAATGTTGGTTATAATAAAGGACATTATACATTGTTTTTTTAAACTAAAAACTATTTTTGTAACCTCGAATGCGCCTGCGTTACAAAAAGACTGAGGATCCCTGTTCAAAACTATCTCTTACCATTCCTGTTATTTTCTTCTTCTCTTAAATACAATACTTCATAAGAAGTGGTATTATGCAGTAATACAATTTTTTATTCATTTATTTTTTAGGTTAACGTACCAGTATTGAGCACCTATTGTAATTTATTATTTGAGATGGTTCAAGGAGATCAATTTGATGTTTCTAAATTAGTGTCCGTGCTAGAGGGTAACGAATTAATTGTGCTGGAAATTTAAAAAAAATCCTCTCACGATTTATGTTTTAAACATCAACGAACACATTCTGTTACGTCTGTACACATTCGGTGTCGTTTACAGTCAAATTTATGTTATTAGCTTATCACTTATTACTATGTATCCCATTGTAAGAGATTATCCGGTTCGATACCTAGCACGGGTGCCCGTGGCACAATTTTACCATCAAAAGTTTTGAGAGGGTGATATATAAATATAGGTGATAAATTTTTATTTTACAAAGATTTTTTTGTTTAACAAAGTTTTATTTTCGACTAAAAAAATATAATTGTAAACAAAAAAAAAAAAAATTAAATTAGTGACTATTGAGGACATCGCGTAGCAAAGACAAACAGAAATATTTTATGCTATTATTTTATGGTTCGTTGAAGAGAAGTTGGTTGGGGTGTTCAGTCAAAAATAAACAAATTAAAAATAAATAAATATATATAAATTTATTTATTTTTTACTGAATATCCTAACCAACTTCTCTTCAATTATTCACTAAGATCAACCACTATTATTATATGGATAATTGAAAATACAGTTTTAAAAACTATAAACAAAGTATACACTATACTTTTGGATTGATTGTTATTCTTTGAAGTTAATAACAGACACGGTTATTGAGAATGTTCACACCAGCATAAAGACATGTTTGGTAACGTGTGCATTACCCAACAATGCTCGCGACCGCTCCAGTAGCCATTATAAACGGATTTATTTTTAATTATCCATTAATTAGAAGTAATTTGTACATATACTTTTTTTTACATCTCTAAATAAAATTGTATGAAACAAAAATAAAATGGAAAACAAATAATATTGATGAAAAATCGTAGATATCACTAATATATAAAAATTTAAAATGCTATTTTTTTTTCAATTTCTGATATTATCAGAAATGTTTCAATATTAATTATACCATAAAACCAGCTTATACTTTTAGAAAATGCATAGGCGTCGTAATTAAAACTGTATGACTTCAGTCAAATGCCCATGTATAATAAAATCGATAACTTCCATTTTAACCAATTTATCGTTCTGTCTCACAGAAGTATATCGAATATTTTCTTTCTTCTAATAGTTTAAATAATTTTTGTTATGTAGCCTCAGATATTTTTTTTATGTATCTATACTTCTTCAGTTAGCATTCTCAGCTGTTTATGTTTACTATAACTGTTTAAAAACTACAAATAATTTTTAAATAATGTAAAAATAGATCTCAATTTTTTAATCAAAATTAAAATGTTGATTGTAAGGAGGAGGGGAATGAATTATTATTCATCAATATTCAAAGTGGTCTATTTCTTTGAATACAATGTTTAATATTATAAAACTTTTTTTAAAACCCTATTGGAAATTACTAATTAGTATAAATTTATGTGCAAATAATTATTTAATATTTGAGCAGTACCTAATTAAAATTATGCTGTTGCTATACTGTTTAATTTTCATTATTAAATATTCATAAATAAAACGAAATGAGTGGAATGTTATTTAACCCTAATTAATAGCAAAATTTTAATTTTTTTTTCCTTTGATATTTTAACTATGTAACGGAACCTATTCCTTCGAGTATCCCTTTGATTATTTAATTAAGACTATTTTATAGAACGATATAAAAATGCAATCGTGATGTTTTTATAATTTATTTAGTTGAATTTTCAAAAAGTAAGCTATATTAACAACAGAGAGTTTTTATTTTTGTAAAAATAATAATAAATAAATTAAAGAATTGTCAAAAATATTGTTATTTTCATTATATTTATATAAATACCACCTTCTTTAAACATTAATATTTTTTTTTTAATTTTTTACTTGTGTTTAGACCTTGTAAAAAGACTTACGAATTATACCGCAATGTATGATTTTCAACTCTTTGTTTGTTATGTATCCATGGTAACGAGTTTACAACAATGGTAATTGATATAATATATTTCTACTCCGAACATAATTTTAATGTGATCCCTCTGTTTTTAGTGTACTTCTCGCTAATAAATACCAGTTTTATAATTATATTTTATAAAAATTTCGTATTATTAAATGATAATTCTTGAAGTTGCTATAAGATGGGTACCTCATTTATGTCGAAGTCCTCTTTGGGTAGAACCTCCGGACACCTCCCGAAGGCAGGCCTCTGTGCCCGACAGAGGGACAGACTCGCAAGAACCACGACGTACCAGGACAACCTGTATAGCTCCATCGCTCAACTGCCGAGTCAACCTTCTACTTTCACGTTTATACTTACCCCCACCCTCCTCAATAATTCAACATTAGTCTGCCCTACGCTGGCTCTATCAATTTTTATTTAATTATTTTATTATATATATATATTTAATTATATTGTTATATTATTATAATCTTTGTATTTTTCCCAAAGCTGTTTTTTTTTTCTTGTCTGTACGCCATATCTTAGTTAATTCTCCATAAAATTCCATGATTGAGTCATAATTTTGAGAATGATCTTCTTATTCAGATGCGACAAATAAGTAAATTCGCCAGAAAAAAAAACCCAGCATATTATGATTAAAAAACAAAACAATATTATGACTTAAACTTTGTACAATTTCTGGCCGATTAAATTCATAATAATTTGAAATATGCCTAAATTCGTACAAACGAAAGAGAACAAGCAAAATCAGACCATTTTTGGCAAAGCAACAGCCAGTTATAACTTTTTCATTATTTTGAATGAACAGTTATGATCGAACAAAGCAAAAAAATTAATTCTTCCCACTTATGATACATTGCTTTTACATATTTCCATACTATGTTGTCATTTGTTCACTGACTAATCTATACAATATATAGGGTGTTTAAATAAGTTTACGACGTTTGTTATCAAGAAAATTTTTGTTTTTACCTACGTGCATCTCACAACATTGAATCCAACTTTATTCAATAGCTAATTTTCTATAGTCGGGATGTTTGTCTATCTAAAATCCTCAAGGTGTTCATATCGCTTCAAACGAGGAAAATTTCCCCAAAATCTGTTTTGCTGTTTCAACTGCTTCAGTGAAATGAAACCGTCACAGGAGATCGCAACAGACTACAATTGGTGCGTTTGAGCAAAGTCTTGAGGCAAAATCGACCACAATAAGAGCAGAGACAAGATAAGAAAATTTTACAGTATGATAATGCTCGACCTCTTGTTGCAAACACTGCCCCACCTGCTGTATTCACCAGACATTGGTCCATTCCGACAACCACCGCTTCCAACAGATAACCCACGGCCTGGCTAAGCAGCGCTTGCATTCTTATCACGGAACTAAAAAATGGGTCGATGACTGAATTTTTTTCAAAGAAATTTCTTTGTTTCAACTTGGAATCCGTAAATTGGCTAAAATATGGGAGAAAGTAGAGTGTAGCGATAATACATTGAATGACCTATATCTGACCACTTTTTATAAATAAAGTTTATACATTTGTCTCGAAAAACGGCGGGGACTTATCCACACTCTCTATATAATATAATAGTAAGTTACTACTAGTAACCCTTTCCGGCTCTCAGAAGCGACGTGTTTTGTAGAATGAGGAATGAAAGGAAAGAAGGTTTAATGGAGAAGTGAAGAAACCTAATTCAATTCAAACGTAAAACCCTATAATAACTTCAAATTCCGCACGAACTAAAAGAAAAAAAAATCATCGAATTCAGACCATTTTTAGCAAAGCTACAGCCTTTTGTTATTTGAAGATATGTTTTAGTTCATTATGTTAAATGAACCTTGGTAATTGATCAAATTGATTCCACCTTACCATAATACATTTCATCTGCTTATGTAATTAACTAATTTTAGATAAGTTAACACATATATAATATTAGCAATATATTGAAACGTGTTAAACAGTTCTGTTCTCAAAATCATTAATATAAAACTATGAAATTTTATATTAAAATATAAATATATAAAATAAAAAGTGCATTTCTGTCCACATTGTCAAATGCTGATGAATAATCTACAAAAAAAAATACAGCTTCAAAATCTCAGCTAAAAAATTCAAATAGAACTAATATATACTAAAACATGAATCATGATATATCAGGAAACAATTATTTCCATAATACATATGATGAAACAATAATAAAATGATATTTAAGGCCAGAGGAGAACTAATAAAATTAAATTGTAGGGTGTATTACGAAACAAGTAATAAATTATGTTCATTATGTATTATGAATGAAACAGAAAATATCGTGCATTTCCTTGGTGTATGTCCTGTTCTGGCGGAACTTAAGGGAAATTATTTTGGAAAAGATAGCCTGACATTTGGGGAAATAATTTCCATTTGAACGGAATAAATTGGTTACATGTATCCTGTTATTGTAAAGTAGCCTGGCAATACAGATATGCCTTATGCCAAGAATTTAATTATTAATTGATGGATAATGTTTGAGCCGAAAAAAATTATTTATCATATTAATCATATAAATTATGTAATAATATTAAAATATCTATATTAAAAATATGTACGTATTTATATATTTAAAATGTGTATTTATTTTGATATTTTTTTTTATTTGCTGTTTTTACTTCGCATCGACTGCCAGGGTCATTAGCGACGATATTTTTTCTTAAATATAAATTATTAATTTTATTTGTCGAATGTACTTCAGCGTTTCAATAGAAATGTTTTCCTTGTACGGTGCCTTGTCATTAATTTGGAGTTCCATTTGCTGTTTTCGGAACTTTTTGCACTGGAATATGTGCTCAACTGTCAGATTAGCATTTTCACATACCTCACATGTTGGTCGATGTAAGCCAAGAAGTAGGTGGAGATGGGTCAGTTTGGTATGTCCAATTCTGAGCCTGCTTATTATAGGGCATTCTTTTGATGTCGGGTATTTTGGAGGATACCAAGCTCGATTTTCGTTTTTGGTCAGATGAAGGTGATTCATCTCCACTGTGCATTCCGATTGTCGTTCTTGTGATAATAAGATTTGATATATTGTATTTCTGTATTTATTAACATTTATATTGTATTTATTAACATTAATAGTAGGTTTTAGTTTATATTATTGTGTCAATAACACTTGTTTTGCAAGACCAGCCTGCGTTGAAGATTCAAGAACCAAGCCGTAAATATTTTTAATGTGCTTGGATACTTTTATTGTTATTTATTGTATAAATATACTCAATAAAAATTCATTCATTCATTTATAAATATATGAAATTATATCAACGTAATTATAAAAATATTTTTCTAAAAATGAAAATAAATTTAACTGTTAGGTTTAAATTGAAAAATTCCAAAACCACACAGCCTTATGTCTCCATAATGCAGGTAAAAAAAAAAACCGTGAACATTTCGCCAATCCAGGCATCATCAGGACAGAAAAGAGCAGTTAATCGAACAACACTCCATGAAGTGCAATAGGGAATGCACGGATTTTTCTTTACCTGCATTGTGGAGATATAAGGCTGTATGGTTTTGGAATTTTTTAATAATAAACTAATATTTATGTTTTGTCGCTTATTATTTTGCTACCTTATTTATAATAAATTTAACATTTTATTTTGTATTATCTAATTTGTTTATTGCTTTGTATAATTTGGCCAATATAGTGCAGCAGATGTTACCTAGTCAAAAACTGATTCAATAATAATTCGAATACGCTAATTCAAAAATATTAAATCAACTAAAATAGTGGTATTGATTTCAAGTTCAAGGTTTGTCCGCGTTCAAGCCTCAATAACTTTGCAAGGGGCGGATTGGGAAAGGATTTGAAAACATGAGGCTGTATGGTTTGAAATTTTTCCATTTATAACCTAATATTTTTACTCTGTCTCTTGGTTACTTCGTTATTGATTTAAATTAACATACCATTCATTTTAAGCATAAAATTCAGGAAAACAAAGTCTAAGTACAAAATAGAAGATTTTATTTATTTCATATTCAATTTCACTACTCATAGTCAAATTCATTAACTTTTGCTTCAGGTCAAAATTGCATGGACTACGAAGGAAAAAAAATTGTTATCACTAATACAAAGTTTCATATAATATTTTTTCTTTTTTTTTCTAATGTACAATAGGACATAGGACCCAACTGCGCATCGGTCCTAATCCGTCCCAGGCGGTCTTAAATTTTTGTCGTTGCGTACCCACGGAATGATTCTTGAATTTCTCACTCTGGTTAGAATATGCTGGTCAAACCGTGAAAATAGAATGAGCATCCCCTTCCCTGCCTTCCATACCAAAAAGACCAGGTAGGGTGTAAAAAAGAATGTCAAGAAATGGAGGGAGAGAAGGGGTAGATAATTAGTGACCAATTGGGACACAGAGTATCTCCGCTTTGTGCTTTGAGATATTCTCATAATAATGGAGGGAGGAGAGGTTTTCTACTACGAAAAATTTTTAATGCTCATTGATAAAAATTACATATTTTTACGTCGCAGATAGATAGTTGCCTATTGAAATTGTGAGATTGAAAAATAGTCAGCATATGCATCTAATAACCATGTTTATTACAGTCATAAACTTACTACATCGTGTCCTACAATATCCTTTAATAATATTCCTCTTATTCCTGTCGAACAGATCCATTACCTAGGACTCCTTTTTGACAAACGTCTTACTTGCAATCCTTATACTAGAATGAAATTTTAAAAGAAACTGCTAATAGATTCCAACTACTACAACACTTACTTGACAAACGCGAGACAAAGAAAAACTTCCAATATTCTACAAAAAAAAAACTCATATATGCAACCATTTGGACGTATGGAATTGAGCTTTGAGGCACCAAAAAATAATCGAATTCTTCCATTATCTAATCCTTGTATCCGAAATCCTCCATAAAATGTCACAAATAAAATTATTCATAAATACATCAACATTGCCTCTGTTGTAGACTTGGCCCGAATTAAATATTCCTGTTTTAACAATTTCTGCAGATTTAGTCGGAGTATATATATATATATATATATATATATATAAATATGTGTGTATGTATACAGCTGTAAATATCACTAAATTGACACCTTAAAACAAAATGTGTATTACGTTTGCCAACGTTTCGACACAAGCGTGTGGGTCATCGTCAGAGCAATGCTTGAAAGCAAGATGTTAAGGTTTTTCTAAATTTATTATTCTTTGTTAGTTGGCAATGATGACTTCCAATTAATAAATAATTGAATTTATTTGTTGTATTTTCAAATTACATGTTAACGTTTCGGGATATTTACTCCCATCTTCAGAACT